TACCTGGGGATTGCTGACTTTTTGTCATAGGCTTAAAAAAGCTTTCCTCCTCCCCCACCTGAGTTTGTCACTGTAGCAGGCCCTGTGACTTAAAGCTAATAAAATTATTTCCCCTGGCTGTTATGGTTTCCACCCTGATTCCCTCTACTGTGGCAATTTCCCCGACTGCCTATAATTTTTCCTATCTCAAGTCCACCCTGATAGGGCTGAAAAAATGTTCCAGCTACTCTGTCCCATGTTTTACCTGCGGGTGTGGAAATGGAGACCAGCAGTACTATCTTTGAAGATAAATGGCAGCTACTGCCATCAGAAAAATCAATCTTTAAAGAGAGTTTAACCAAAAGGAAAAGAGCCATCTCAGCTGTGTTGCCCAACAAGTCTGCGAACTCTTTAGAGACATGCAGCTAACACATTCCGTTTCATTTTCCCTGACTCACGCCACATCCTGCATTTGCCACTGAAAGCCCTGCAGTGTTACCAATGAAAAAAAAAAAAGAAAATTTAGATCATTCCTGCCAACTAGCCTAAACTATTGCTAAATCACCTTATTTTTAACTCAAACTTATTCCTAATAGGCAATAAGCTAGTGGTTTGCAACCTATGATGTAATTACACGGGACAGGAGGGGAACTCAGAATTTCATTTATACAAAAAAGTAAATTGGCCCATGTGACAGAGCTAGTCAAATGGCAGAGCTGGGATTCCAACCCTATTTCCTGCCTCCAGATGTTCTTTCTTCCCAAAAGTTCCTTGAATGGCCCTTTTATGACTTGTGGAAAATTTAGTTAACTGAACTACCTAGTCCTTGAACTGAAAATTTCAATATCATCAGAGCTATTACTCTTTCGCTGTTTTTTGAGCATCAACAGTATGTCAGGCACTGTTCTGACCAGTTTGAGTAAGTCAGTGAACAAAGTTTCTGCCTTTGTGGAGCTTACAAATCTACTAAAAGAGGATTGAATTAAAATGTTAGGTGATCAGCGGTAAGAAAAAGGGCAAAGCAGAGCAATGTAGAGATGAGCAGGAAGGCTGCAAGTCGGGGAGGCTGTTGAAATATTGAAGAGGGTGTTCAAGGTAGGCCTGACATGACAGCTGAGCCAAGACGTGAAGGAGGTAAGCAGTTAGCCAATAGTAGCATTGAAAATACGGTTTATTGTTACTTTTATTCTTTGAATACCAACCAGTAAGCAATCATGCGTTTGTTGAACGATGTGAGAACAATGTTGAGCCAAGTGTAAAAATAAAAAATGTGTTTCAACCCCTTCACAAGAGCTCAGGATCACTGTAAGCAACATTTAAGTGCTTAACACCTCTAATCAGAAGTCTTAGGATCTTGAATAAATACATGGCTGTGTTGAAAGTAGAACTGTAAAGACAGATCGTCCACAATGTTGAATACACACCAGGAGAATGACTTCAGTCTTTTGTTTTGTTGGCCACTGGGAAAATATATGCACACCTGCACAGTGGCACGCAGAAATGTCATTTGACTACTTCCTGTTACTTCAAACTTCGAAAATAATCTGGTCGTATGGATTTACAAAGTACCAAAGTGCTCATCCATAATTGCAAGAATAAGAGAAAATACAATTTTTTTTAAAATGGTCCTATGATCCAAAAGGACATTTAGGCTGACATTGCCAATTTCTCACAGCTTTTGATACAGGAACGCCAATGCATATTTTTTGTTTTGTTTTGTTTTGAAGAAGGATCAAAATAGCTGAGAGAAACAAGCTCTGTAGCCCTGAGTCATCCACAGGATAATATGCCACAGGCTGGGATGACCGAATTGCTGACCTAGCACTGTAATAGCTAGGTAAACAAAGGGGTGGTGGGGAGTTGGACAGCAGGCAGAGCCCTCAGGGCTGCACTGAAATGACAACTGTCCTCAGAGCCACTCAAGGACAAAATGGGCCCATTTCTGAAAATAGTTGGTGGTTTCGTGCAGCAAAAAAACAAAACAAACAAAAAATGAAGATGAATGCTTGGAGCATGTTCAAATGTCTCAGAGTAAAAATATAACTGAAAAAAAACGCAGCTAGAAATAGTTGAATTTCAAGTTTTATACAGGGTAAAAACTGGCTGAAACCAATTCGTCAACTAGTTTATTTTCCAGAAATGACTGACTTTGATCATTGTAACAGCTGCCTTGGTCCCGTATCCATGGGCAATGGACAGCATGCCCCAGCCCACACACAACCTCAAAATTATACCATACCTATTATATATTTGGTGGTTAATGACACAAACACAACGGAGAATTATGTGCTTGCTAAATGTAACATTTCCACATCAACTGGCAACTGACAATATTGATGCAAGGGGCGCACTGCCACAGCCAGAGCCCCGGGCACCATACTGCTCTAGGGAGCTCTGTTCACACTGCACAATGGCACGGTGCCCCCTAGAGCTGTGCTGGGCAATGCACCTGTTTGCCTAGTCACTGGGGTTCATTCGTTAACCCCCCGTTGTTTTGTTCTTTTGCAATCCTAACCACCGATTTCACAATGCAGTCTATAAACTTCTAGAAATACACAATGCTTTATAGGAACAAAACAATTCTGCATTAGGGGAAAAAAATGGGAAAACAGTCTGCCATTGAAGAGTGGCATTCTTTTTCTAGTCTCCACCCACACAGGGTAACAGCCATAGCGAGGCACATTCTATCTGGATGCCACTGGCATTGTCTCTCTCCCTCTTTCTCGCTCTCGCTCGACGTTGGGAATAACCTTCAATTTTATATTAAGTATAAGGAGAGTGGCCATGTTTTTGCCCTTTGGGAAACAAGTTACAGTGATCTAAGGAACAATAAATAAAGCAATCAGGACAATAGTCATAAATCAAGACCATCCTTGGCCAATTTAGGTGTAAGCTCACCCTACAGATAGATATAGGATCTATCAAAATATATGGTAAAAGTTAAGGACTCACTCATCTCTGATACTTGTCATACCAGCTTCCAAGGGAAGAAGGGGATTATTTGACACAACCCTCAAGCTTGGTTCCCAGAAAAAAGTATCAGGGTGTCATGGGACTCGGGGCCCAGGTTAGTGAAAAGCCATTTCCTAAACTTTTAGTCCTAGCCTCAGGGTTTCAAGAAGCTTTAAAGCTTGGATAGCAGGAAACATGGGAGTGACTGAGAGGTTCTTATGTTCAGGGAACATGATGTCCTAATCAGAGCACATTGAAATATTGGGCCTGCCTTTGCCTGTGAATTTAGCTAATTTACTTGAACTTCATGAATTTATAAAATTAGAGGGCTGGTCTAACAGGGTATGTAATGTCCCATTCAAGCATAAATTTTTTCCAACAGGAAAATCTAGACAGGTGGAACTGAAACAACCCAAGCCCTCCTAGGGAGACACAGGAGGGCTCTAAATGCTAAGTACCTCTTTAGAAGTCCCTAGCAGTACAGGGACTGCTCCTCATGTCGAGAACTGGGATCTGCCATGTGCTTCAACATTCACCTCATTCCTAGGTAGTGGGTAGAAGTCTAGTAGTGTCAAAGTATAGTTTCCATCTTAATGCAAATATTAGCTTCCATTTAGCTTCGTCAATAACAACACTCCAATATTTATGTCAGTAGTGACAACATTCCATTTTAAGTGCTTTGATGTCAACATCAAAAATTCCTAGAGCAGGGACGGCCGAGTGGCGCAATGGTTAAGAACTGGCTTGGGACGCCAGAGGGTCCCGGTTCGGATCCCACATATGAGGGCCAGTGACACTGCCCTCCA